TTGAGCCTGGTGGGATTTGAACAGCCAAACTGCTGAACTACAGTGCTGCATTTAACCACTGCGCCACCTCGGCTCTTATTGCTCCTATTGCTTTGGCATGTCCCATACTTGGATTCCCCAAGCTGCGCACAGGAGAACGACCATTGACTTACCTGAACGGTCTTTCTATGTGCGCTGGGAGGGGAATCCAAACCCGCCCTCGGTTTCAGCTGTTCTGGGCCTGGACTTCCATGTTTTCCTATGACATCCTGACTTACCTTGACTTCTAGTCTTCCTTTTGCTTCTCTCGAATCGGCTGATCCTTTGTGCAAAACTGAACCCTTCCAGTCAGAGGAGGCGTGGCCAGCAATTTGCATAACTCAGTCTCAAGGCTAATGGACAAAGTTAACCCATGCTTGGATTCCCCTCGCAGCGCACATAGAAGGACCGTTCAGGCAAGTCAACGGTTGTTCTACCTGGAACATGGACTCATAACACCCTGAGAGATCAGGAGAGAGCAGGACCTTCAGATCTGGCCTTTGCCAGATCTTGGATGATGCCTTCCAGCCTCAGGTGGAAGATCGGGGCAACCTTTGCCGAACCAAAGAACCTGTTGAAGGTTTCTCTTGCTTCTTAAAGAAACATCTCAACAATGCTGTGTTTCCCCATTCCCAATGACAATGCAGCGAGAGTCAGTGGTTTTGCTGGAAGAGAAGGGAAGGTGGGGGGAAGGGGCTTCCCTGTTCTGCCCAGTGAAAGCGTCTCCCAAGGGTTGGAAGAAGCATGGCACCCTAAGCCCATGTGTGTGTGCATGTGTGTGTATATGGATCTACTGTTTGCAGATACACGCACATCTGTATATAGACACACCTGCATAGCTAGCTATAGCCCCCAATACCATCCACCTGTTGCCAGTTGGAGTCGGGTTGCCTTTGCATCTTCAGGTGCCAGTTTCTCTCACAGGCTGGGCTATTTGGGAAGGCATATTATTCACCTAGATACTGGTGGTCCCCTGGCACTAAGGAAGGGAGGGGGACTCCACTTCGGGGCTGTTCCCAGCTGCCTCTGGCTGCCCAGAGCCTTTCTGCCCTTTTCTCTTGGTTACAGCTGCCAGCTGGGGAGTACCACAAAGTATTCACGGTCTCTCAGGAGCCCTCCTGCTACATGTATATCTACGTCAACACAACGGAGGTGGCACTTGAGCGGAATTTCACTCAATTTCAGGAGTTGCGGGAGAAAGTTCAGAACGGGACTGGTAAGCCTGCAAAAAAGCTGGTTGCCCAGACAAGCCCTCATAGTGGTTTTCTCCTCATGAATATTACTTCATGATAGCAGTCTTCTAATATCTCAGGGGTTGCTCCAAAGAAGAGGGGGTCAAGCTATTCTCCAAAGCACCTTAGGGTAGAACAAGAAGCAATAGATAGAAAGGAAAGAAGCAACCTAGAACTAAGGACAAACTTCCTGATACTGAGAACAATTAATCAGTGGAACAGCTTCCCTCCAGAAGTTGTGAATGCCCCAACACTGGAAGTTTTTAAGAAGATGTTGGACAGCCATTTGTCTGAAGGGGTGTAGGGTTTCCTGCCTAGGCAGGGGGTTGGACTAGAAGACCTCCACGGTCCCTTCCAACTCTGTTATTCTATTCTCTGTACTTGCCTGATTTTCAGAAGGTGCTTCACCTTCTGTTTTTGTCACTTCCCTCTTCGCAGAAACAGAGCCTCTCCCACCAGAGTTGCAGCCCATCTTGGAAGATTCTCTAGAAAACGTGACACAGGCAGATCCGATTGTTGAGGCTTTCCTCCACCGCCAGCGACGCATGGAGGAGCGGCAAAGGAGGCGCAACGCCACCCTGGCTGAGCGACTGCAGCATTTCGTGAACAAGAAGTACTTCATTTTCCGCAGGAGGTGAGAGAAGGGGGGGGGGGAAGGTCCTGCTGAGTGCTTCCCGCATTCTCTCTGTATTAAATAATGTTATTACAAGTTTTTATTAAAATAGTCAAAGTTCATGCAAACTTTATAAGAAAAATATAAAGCAAGAATAAAAGCTGCAAGAAAATGGAAAATTAAAGAATAATACAAGGAAACAACTCTAAGAAAGTGGCTTCCACCCTCATCATGCCAAATATAAACCATTTCACCATCTCTCTCTTTCCTGTAAATTAACAGATGAAAATCCAACCTAACTCCTAATTTTGGGCAAATCTAGCCAGTATCATCTTCTCCGGTCTAGCTATCAGCAACAAAACAAAACAAAACAAAACCCAAGGCAGACTTTGTGTGCTGTTTTGCTACTCTTGTGCTCTTCACGTTTGTCTACACAAAAGCTCAGCTTGGATTGTGTTGGGTGCTTCCTCCTGACAGTGTCCCTGCTTTTGCCCACAGCCTCCTGATGACCTGCATCTCCCTTCGGAACCTGGTGCTGGGCCGCCCCTCCCTCTCTCAACTGGCCCAGGAGGCCTATGCCAACATGAAAGAGGCTGCCCCACAAGAGACGGCCCCCCAGGGGCCTGAGCGCTCGGACCTCTGAAGTGACTCACTACCTCAACCCTCACCACTAGCCGGAAGGCCTTCCTGTGGGCCAAGTCCAGAGGGATGTAGCCAGGCCTGAGGAGTCCCCTTGTGTTGCTTAGCCAGAGCCCCTTCCTCCCTTTCTGAGATTGGAGGGGTGGGCTCTGAGCCAGCGTGACCCTCTTCTGCCCTAGAGGGGCTGAGCAGAGCTTAAAACCCTTGCAGCAAACGCTGCAGGAAGGAGGAGGGAGGGAGGGTTTGGTGGGCTCAGCTGGCCAGCACAATTATAATCCCTCTGCGATGGAAAGAGATGAGAGATCCCACTTTGAGAACAGTTGTCTTCTCTTGGGTGGGTCTCCTCATCCCACCGCGCAGCTGGGAGAAAGGATTTGGGCAGAGGGGCTGCTTTTAGAATACCCTGGCGGTTCCTTTAGGAGGACTGATTGGATAAGCCCAGGGGGTTTCGGTTCTTTGCGGTTGAGTGGCCAGCTACGCAGCTTGTGGGCGGGAGAGGAAGGAATGTGTGAATCCAGCCAGGGACAGAAAAAGCAGCCCTAATGGCTGCCTCACTCCTCCATGGATGTTGGAATTCTCCCTCTCGCTCCCTGACATTTCTGTGGGTTACAGAAGCAGAGCTTCCCCTCTAAGGCAGCAGTGCAGTCACGGTCCCCATCCGATAATACCCCACACTTGAGATCCAGGTCTAGCAACACAAACCCCTAGGGATTCCCACCTTCTTTGGAGTTTTCTAAGAGAAAGGGCTGGCTGCATCGCATGGGATTAAGGCAAGAAGAGCCTTATTTTTCTAATTAAAAACAGCATTGTTCAAAAGTCTCTGCGTTCTGTGTGTTTATTTATTTATACCCCACCTTTGTTTGTTTATTTCCCAAACAGCTCAAGGTGTCAAAACAAGGTGTCTAATGGACCAGGGGTCCCCAGCCCCGGGTTGTGACCTGGTCCTGGGCCATGGCCTGTTTGGAATTGGGCTGGACAAGTGGCAGCCATGGGGTTAGCTGCTGCTTGTCCCCATGCCTCGATTCTCCTCTTGGTTGCTCTCGTGAGCCAACATTCCTAGCCTAATGTTACACCTGCCCCAGCTGGGTCCCTAGGAAAGAGAGACCCTTGACTCCCATTTGATTGAAATGATAGGTTCTTCTGCTAAGGATTACCGGTTGCAGCAAAAGTGAGGCCAGTTATGAGTATTCCCGTGCAAATGTTACATGTTTTTCCCGGTCTGTGGCCCTCCCTCCTTGTCCAGATTTTGGGTGGCCAATAGCATTCCAGTTTGATGTTAGGGACATCTTGAAGAGGTTTCACGTTCTTTCCCAGGCCAGGCAGCCTTGGGGAGGCTGCATTTATCTGATTTGACACCTCTGGTTCCTGTCAGTGTCTTCCCCTCCCCCTCTTACATCCTCCTCCTCCTCTCCTGCACAACGTGCTTGAGAGACCGCCTACTGCCAATTACCTCCACTAGACCGATTCGATCGCATCGATTAGGCCTTCTCCGAATTCCATCTTCTAGCCAGTGCAACCTGGCAACTCCCCGGAGGAGAGCCTTCTCGGTGGCTGCTCTGTCCCTTTGGAACGAACTCCCCG